TCAAGTTTTTATCTGCTTTTCTATAGTGATATTTCTCAGGTACTAACTGCCATTGAATGAAAGGGAGAGAAGGCAAGTGATACAAAGAATGTGAGTCTACAGCCATAACAAATGACGAGATACTGCCATTTGCAACAACATAGATGGATCTTGAGAGCATCATGCTCAGTGAAATAAGTCAGATGGAAAATTACAAGAACCATACAATTTTACTCATATGTTGCATATTAAACAAAAAGCAACAAGTGAACAAACAACACAAAAAGGCAAACAAACTTAGAGACAACAGTGTGGAGGTTACGAGAGGGGAAGGATGTGGGGGAGGATGAAGAGGGTAAAGAGGGCCAGTCTATGGCGACAAAAGGAGACTAGACTTTGGGTGACGAACACACAATGGAGTATGTGGGTGGTATATTATAAAGTTGTAGACCTGAAACTTACGTAATGTTATTAATCAATTTACCCCCAATAAATTTTGGGGGGATTGTGTTTTATTTTATTTTTAACTGTTTATTTTTAATTGTATTTTTCCATTATCATTTATCCCCCTTACACCCTCTTACACCTCCAATCCCCTCCCCACAATCACAACACTGTCACCTGTATCCGTGAGTCCTTTCTCTTTTTGGCTCAATCCCTCCACCCCCAAAACTTGCCCCCCAGAACTGTCAGCCTGCTCTCTATCTATGAGTCTGTCTCTATTTTGCTTGTTAGTTCAGTTTATTCATTAGATTCCACTTATTAGTGAAATCATATGGTATTTATCCTTCTCTGACTGGCTTATTTCACTTAGCATAACGTTCTCCGGGTCCATCTGTGCTGTCGCAAAGGGTAAGGTTTTCCTCTTTTTTACGGCCAAGTAGTATTCCACTGTGTAAATGTGTTACCGGTGAGAGCTGAGTCAGGGCCTTCCCTTCCTCGGTTCTTGCCTTACTCGTAAGAGAAGAATTCAGACAAGAGACAAACACTAGTGGAAATGAGACGGCAAGTTCATTTATGAAATACACTTGAGCATGAAGCTGCAAGCAGGCACCCGGCTGATCTGAATCGTTCATGAATAGAGAAAATTAAGCTGTTAATAAATTTGCTGCTAAGTTTCTTTGAGCACCTGGTACAAGTGGGCACTCAGCTAAGCTGAGTGTCTCACATATGTTGGAAAATGAAGCTGCAAGTTTGTCTATACGCTTGAGCAAAAAGCTGCAAGTGTGTGCCCAGCTAAACTGAGTGCTCTACGTATGGAGGAAATAAAGTTGTTAGTAAATTTGTTATATACACTTGAGTCCCTGGCTATAAATGGGCACTCAGCTAATCTGGGCGTGCTGACTCTTCGTGGTCAGGGGTCATATACTTTAGTCAGTTTCTAGGTTCCCCCTCTGCTTCTCCCTTTCAGACTTTGGGGCGTTTACAAAGGCTTTCTTTCCCAGCTAGTGAAGATGATACACACAGAGTTTCAAGGGCTCCCCTCTTCCTGCGCTATTGCAGCTTTGCTCGTGATGTTTGGAACACCTTGCAATCTTATTGGACTGGGCTTAGGATGGCTGGGTCACCGGGTGAGACATGTCTCCCTTTTGTTTCTAGCCTCCTGCTTTAAGTTCTTTGTTAGATGTAATGGCGGGGTCCCTGCTTTATTTCCCCTCTGGCTACTCATTCCTAGCTGCTACCTAACAAATGTACCAAGGTTGTTTTACCTACTCATCTGCTGATGCACAATTTGACTGCTTCCAAATCTTGGCTATTGTAAGTAATGCTGCAATGAACATAGAGGTGCATATATTCTTTTGAATTAGTGTTTCGGTTTTTTCTCCCAGATAAATTCCCAGAAGGGGAATTGCTGGGTAAAAAGGCAGTTCCATTTTTTATTTTTGGAGGTAACTCCATCCTGCTTTCCGCAGTGGCTACACCAGTCTGCATTCCCACCAACAGTGCAAAAGTGTTCCTCTTTCTCCACATCCTCGCCACCATTTGTTGTTTGTTGATTTATTGATGATAGCCATTCTGACAGGTGTGAGGTGACATCTCATGGTGGCTTTATACCCACATAATTTAATTAAACAAAAAAAAAAATGAAGTAAGAATGAGTATGTGTGTGCCTGTGTGTGGTGGGGATCCTGAGCAATATTTGCAATGGACATTGTGGTTGGTTCCTAACGTCTATTCCATAACAGACAATTAGCTCAAAACAATCTATGCCTTTCCCTTGGCAACGTTTAGTGCTCCAGGACTGGACACACTAATAACCTTAGCCAGACAGCCCAAAGGAAAGGACTTATGTCTCATACCTTGGAGGAGGTTTTTCTCTTTCCTGCCCTGGAGGAGAAGAGAGGAGCATCACCCATAAGCTTCTGGCAGCCATCTTGGTACAGCAAGGAGGACTGTCCTGAGGACAAAGCTCCCCTCCAAGGAGGAAGGCTGAGCGGAACCATGGGTACAGCCTGGGTCCTTGAGGACACCATTGAGCTGCCGATCCACCAACCTCAGTCTGCTTGCCTCTGACCCTTGTTACACGAGATATTTCTTTACTCTATTTTTCTTTTTCTTTTTTTTTAAATGCGGTTATATGCTACTTGTAGCAGAAAGCATCATAGCAAAAAGATACCGATCAGATTCAGTATCTTAAAATATCCCATCACACCTGATTTCAGACCTGTGGATCCAACAGCCTGCTAGTACTTTCTCTTGATTGTTTCATAGTGTCTCATACTCAGTAAGGCTAAAACTGACATTGTTGTCTTGCTGGGCCCCTCCTCCCCTTACTCAGCTCTTCCCTGTGTTTGTGTAAGGTCCGCCATCTGCCTTGTTGTTCAAGTCAAAACCTTGGGTCGTCTTCGCTCTTCCCCTTCTTTCACCTGCTAATTTACCCCCTGAATATTTCTCAAACCCATCCACTTCTTTTATTTTTAAATTAAAAAAATTTTTGATTTTAGAGAAAAGGAAAGGGAGGAAGAGAGGAAGAGAAACATCGATCAGTTGGCTTCCATACATGCTCTGATGGGGGATCAAACCTGTATCCTGGGCATGTGCCCTGACTGGGAATTCAACCAGCGACATTTCAGTTTGTAGGATGACACCCAACCAGCTGAGCCACACTGGCCGGGGCTCACATCCATCCATTTCATTGCCCGCCATCATCTTTTGCATCCTTCCCTTCAACAGCCTCTGAACTCATCCCCCTTCTCCTTCTAATTGTTTCTGCATGCTACACCTAAATGGATCTTCCTAAAATGCAGAACTAAAGACTTTATCCTCCTGATTAAGTCCTTTCCTTTCCCTTAGGATAAATTCAGAGTGCCTTGATCTAGCATATAAGACTCTCCCTGACTGGCCCCATTTCATCTTTCCAACCTCAACATCATTTCTTGCTTTCTATCCTTCACTCCAGCATTATAGAACTATTTTTAATTTCCAAACTTGCTCTCTTACTTCTTGGCTGACTTACCTACCTAGAAAGTCCCCCTCCTCTCCCTGCTCCACCTGAATAACTCCTGTTTGTTCTTCTGTGCTCAGTGTGATGGCGCCTCCTCTGGGAAGCCATCCTTTCCCCAAGGCTGGGTTCGGTGTTCCTCTTCACAGTCCCACAATGCCATCTGTTTATTCCAGTCACAGCACTCATCACCGGGTTTGTATTTCCTGTTTAATTGTCTATCCCCTCACCCCAGGCTATGTGCTTCTTGAGAGGGGACTCTGGTTTGTTTCCGGTGCCTAGTACCATAATTGAGTGAAGAAGATCATTTAAAATCCAGAAGTAGGTTTTGAGATGAAGACAAGAGTAAGATGGAATGGAATTGGAGGACAGAGTGAAAGTGGACATTTCCAAGTGGGGGAGAGGAGGTGGCAGCAGAATCTGATTTGTTGGCTAAGTGTTGATTAGATTTAGGTGGGTGGCAGGACCAGGAGGGGGGAAAGAAGCTACTGAGGCAGGTAGTGTAACCCCAACAAGAGATGATGGTGGCCTGGACTAGGGTGGTGGAAGTGGGGATGGGAGAAGCAGAGAGACTGGAATAAGAAGTAAAATGAGCAAAATTGCCTGGGGTGGGAGGTGAAGAAAAGAAAGGGGTGTAAGATGAGTTGAGTTCTAATTTGGGCAACAGAAGTCCCAGTGGTGCCCTCTTCTAGGGTGGGAATCCAGCAGAAAGAACATGATCAGAGACGGTGAGGAGTGGGATGAGGAGCTCTGGGACAGGCTGGATTTGAGGGACCACTGGGACACCCAGAGGCACCTGGATATTCAGGGTTGTAGAGGGGAGACAGAAATGGAGAATAGACAGAGAGGTAGGAGAAAAACCAGAAGAGTAGATAGGAGTCATAGATGCCAAGATAGTGGGAGGCCAAAAGGAAATGCCTAGAGGCCCTGCTGGTGTGGCTCAGTTAGTTAGGCATCATCCTGCAAACCAAAAGGTTGCTGGTTTGATTACCCATCAGGGCACATGCCAGGGTTGCAGGTTCAGTCCCCAGTTGGGGTGCGTACGGAAGACAGCCAATTGATGTTTCTCTCTCACATTGATGTTTTTCTCTCTCTCTATCTTTCTCTTTCTCCCCTCTCTAAGATAAAATATATGTATATTTTTTTAAAAGAAAAAAGAAATGACTAGAGACAAAGAGAAAATACTGCTGAGCCTCCTCCTCACAGGTACCACCACTTCTACAGACACAAATGCACCCACAGACACAAAATGCACTGGAGAGGTTTCTCTTGACAGCAGCTTTATTTGATTCAAAAGTTAAATTCAGACTTTGGCCCATCCCACAGATCAGGGGTTCATGGCAGTATAGTTGACTTGGAGATCAGAAAAGAGGAACACATGGGTCATATCTTTATTTCAGGGCAGGGAGAGGCCCAACTACTACTGGCTGGGTAGGGCTTGGCTACACACCAGGGAAGGGGTGACTGATACCATCCCCTAGACACATGCAGATGGAAGGGGGACTAATTCAGGACTGGTATTAGAGGGTGGGCTCAGAGTAGGCCTACAGCAGGGCCAGGAAATTCTGGACCAACAGGTTCAATAGCTGTGAGTGGAGGACTTGTCCAGTTCGCTGCGCTGCTCCTTCTGGGACTCTGTCACCACCTGCTGGGGGCAAGGAATGTGAAGGGCACAAGCCATTCAGTACCACCCTCCGAGCTCCTTCGGGTCATGATGTCTAACCTCTGGCATAACCAGCTGATGCTCCAATCTATCCATCCACCTTCTCTATCTCCTTGTCTCCCTCCCACCCCAAGACCACTAACCTACAACACCCTAAGATTGGCTACAGCCAAACTGGGGCTCAGAAATAATTTTGGAAACGATAGGGTAATGGTCTCAAGTGTCCCATCTCACCTCCCCATCCCGGGTTTCGATGGTCTTGATCAAAACCATCTTCCGGCTGTGGCTGTCCTGGGGGGGCTCCACCTCAGGCACTGGAAAAAGCAGGTGAGGGATGGAAGAAGGGAGGCTTAGCCTTTATTTCCTTTTAAGCCCTCATAGCACCTGTGAGGGGAGGGGTAGGTAGGGGCAGGGCTTAAAGAGAGGGGAGAGAGTAGACCAAGCCTCTATAGTTCACAGAGAGAACCAATCCCTGAGCAGAGCCATAGCAAGGGTTCCGTCAGAGCAGAAGACAAGGGGACAGACAAGTTGAAGGCCAGAAGTGGGACTCACCAGTCGTCTTTATACTTAAGGATGCAAAGGAATGGACAGGCACGGAGATCCTGGGGGCGAAGCAAGTGGTTAGCTATTCTGCCCAGGCTGCGCCCCTTCCCTAACCAGGTCTGACCACCATTTTCCAACAGCCCTGCCCCTACCGGTTCTCCTCGCCCTCCAGCAGCTTCCGGTAGGTGGCGATCTCGATGTCCAGGGCCATCTTGACATTGAGGAGCTCCTGGTACTCGCGCAGGTGCCGCGCCATCTCCTCCTTTAGCTGCCGCAGCTCTTCCTCGAGGCGCGCAGTGCCCGCCTGGTACCCGCCGGCCTCCAGCGCAAACTGCTCCTCCAGCTCCCGTAGCTGCCTCAGCAGCGCCTCGTTCTGGGGTTGGGGGGCGAGGGGAAGCATGGTTCCGAGAGCGAACAGCCTTCATGGTCCTCTCCTACCCAGTGGCGCGGCCTGGTACTCACCGTGCCTCGCAGTCCGTCCACCTCGCACGTCAGGCTCTGGATCTGGCGTCGGGACTCGTTCATCTCCTGCTTGGCCTGGCGCAGAGCCTCATGGTTCCGGTTGGCGGCATCCGACAGATCTGCATACTGCGGGAAAGAGGGCAACCTAGGGATGCTCCCTCACCCAAGCGCCCTACCCTCTCAGGCATTCCCAAACCCTTCCGAGCTCTCACACCTTAGACTTGTACCACTCCTCTGCCTCCTGCAGGTTCTTCGCTGCGATGCTCTCGTACTGCGCGCGGATGTCCCTCAGCGCGGCTGTCAGCTCGGGCTTCACGGTCGCCTCCACTTCGATCTGCTGCACGTGCTGATTCTCCACGGTCACCTGCAGGTCTCGCAACTCCTGCCCCCAGGACCACAAGACGTCGAGTTCGCCGCGCAGATCGCAGGCGGGTCGTGCAGTTCGCGCACAGGAAAAAGAAGAAACACTTGAGTGAACAAAAGGGGGCGCCAGAGGGTGAGGCGCGCACAGGATTGCACGCACGCGCCTGGCCTGCACTGAACCCGCGGTTAGGATACAGGATGCAGCGCTGCTTCTCGCCACCAGGTGGCGCAGGGGCGGGGGGCAAACCACCTGTAGACTGCAGTTGAGTGGGGGCGTCTATCCAGAGAATCTCACTTCTCCAGTGCTGTTCCTCGGCTCCACCTGCCAATCTCCTTCAGAACTTGTCTCCCAGCGCTAAAGAGACCACCCTCAACCTCCGAATCCTCCCTTGATACCCAGGTCCACCCACCTCCTCATGCAGCTTCTTGAGGAACTCAATCTCATCCATCAGAGATTCAATCTTGCGTTCTAGCTCCAGGCGGGCCAGGGTAGCATCGTCCACGTCCTTCATGGAGTGGCAGTGGCAGTTCAAGAGCAGGGAGGGGCTGATCAGCATGAGGAAGAGCCAGGCCCTCCCGGTCAGCCTCTGAAGGCTTCTGGTGGCTTCCCCGCACCCACAGATGCCACCCTGGACACGCAGGCCAGGGGTAGAGGCAGGGAAACGGAAATCCACCCGGGGCCCAGACTCACCTTGCGGAAGAGCACGAGGTTGTGCTCAGCGTCCTCTCGCTTGCGTGTTTCGTCTTCCAGCCTGGAGAACAGAGTGGGCAGAGGCTGAGCTGCGGGGTCACCGTCCTCCCCACCCCCAGGATCCAGGGTACTACTGCCCAAGACTCGCAGGAGGGATCTTCAGGCTGCCTGATGCACGTGCCCTATTCTCTGTCTAAGGGGTGGGAGCTGAGCTGGGGCCCTTTTATGCGCGAAGAAACATAGTCACTTCGCCTTCCCAGAGACCAGCAAAGTGGTAGAGGAAGGTCAAGGATGCTGCCTGCACGCACACACCCTCCCTGGTTGACCGGGGAAGCAACTCCCTCGGATGGCTGGTGGAGAGGGAAGGGGAGCGAGAAGCAGCCCCCTCGACGGCCGCCGCCGGGCCCTGCCCCCTGACCTCTGCTTGAGCGCCGCCAGGTCCTCCGCCAGCCCGTCGCGCTCCACCTGCACCCGGTCGCGCTCGCGGCCCAGCAGCTCTAGCTCCCTGCGCAGCTCGCGCAGCTCCTGCTGGCACAGCTGATCGGCGCGCGCCGGCTCCTGGCCTCGGGCCTGGCTCAGCTCCCCGCGCAAGGCGGCATTCTGCTGCTCCAGGAAGCGCACCTTCTCAATGAAGTTGGCGAAGCGGTCGTTGAGCTCCTGCAGTTCCTGCTTCTCGTTGCTACGCGTGGCCAGAAACTCCTGGTTGAGGGCCTCGGCCATGGAGAAGTCGAGGCGCTCAGAAGGCAGGCGCAGGAGGGCGCCCGCGCCGGCCCGGGGGCCGCGGAAGCTACCCAGACGCACCGAGGAGCTGGAGGATGCCGAGCCCAGCAGGCGGCTGCCCGAGAAACGAGAGCTGGACGAGTAGGAGAAGGCCCCGGGTGACAGTGAAGGCGGTGGGCCGAAGGTGCGGCGATAGGAGGTAGAACTGACGCTGGCCCGGAGGCCCGACGGGTGGCTCATGGCGGCCGAGGATGGGGAGTCACCGCTGGCAGAGTTGGTCCCGGAGCCGCAGACCGCTGCAAGGCGGCTTTATAATCCTGCGGGCTCAGCGGGGGCACGGGCAGCTCCTCCCACTGGCCTGACTGTGCGGCTAAGTGGGGAGGGGGACGCCCCACCCTGCTGAGCTGCGGGAGCGCCGCACCCTCCCTCCCTGGTTGCTGGCGCCCAGCCTACTTGGTTCCCCCTGTTGCTGGTGGGGAAGCAAGCAGGGATGGCGAGACTACAGGCCACAGGCGGGCGGGTCGGAGGTCAGCGCCTTTCAGTAAGCACCCAGAGCTAGAGCCTAGAGTGGGAGGGCCTGATTTGAGCTGGGGTCCCTGACTGAAATAGCTGGTAAAATTGGGAGATAAAAGGACTGGAGGTTCAAGGACAGACTTCTGGCACATGAGTAGGGAGGAGGTGGCTCAGGTGTGTGGAGAGCTGGCCTGGTTTGGGCCCCAGAACCTGTGCCTCCACTTTTCCCCTTAAGGCTATGCTCTGCTTTTACCTGCTGTCAGTTACCGCCTTTGTCACCACATCCAGGGAGATATGGGGGACAGGAGAGCAGAAGAGGCTAAGGGGGGTGGGGAAGGGCTGCCTCTCTGTAATCCCCAGGGCCCTGTGGAGGGTTGCTGCCTGGCGCCAGCTCTGCGGCTAATGGACTGGCCACTGCTCCTCCCCCTCCCCTGGACACTTGGCCAGGAGGGTGCCTGCTGATGTCTCAGCTTTAAAGACACAGCTCCCAAACCTGGATCTACCCCAGGTCCCAAGAGGGTGGGCACATAAGAAGGGGTTGAGGGTGACTGGGCCCAGCTCTCGGTCCCACTAGGCAGGGTCTGTGCCTTGGCAGAAGATGAGCTGAGTGAGCCAGTGTATGCTGTCTGGCTTTACTGGATTCTCCCTTCCCCCACCCAACTGCTGCTCAGTCACGGCCTTACGGGAACCGGGGCTATTCCTGAGGTAGGAAGGGGAGGGGGCTGAAGGGTGGTAGCTACTGCCAAGGCTGAGAGATGGATGGACTGGCAGCAACCGGTTTCCATTACTGGGGAATTGCAGGTACCCAAGAATGAGTGAGGCTGGATGAGGAAGAGATGGGGAAAAAGAAGGTATTTACCCCCAATAGTTCAGGGACTGAAAGAGGAGAAAGCAAGCCACGGAGCAGATCCACAAGCCGCTGCACACAGATGCATGTGTATAATAACGCTTTATACCTATGTGCACACATCACACACACCGCACACACCTTCCTACCCTCCGCCACACTGGAGTTAGCCGGAAGGCTTATATCTGGCCTTTGCATGTCAAATGGCTTCCAGAGCGCAGGCACAGGCTGCCCAGGAGTGGACAGAGGCAGCCCGGATGGTCTGCAGGAGCCAGGGTGATGAGACCTGTGGCATTTGCTAGGAGCCATGGGGCTGCTGCTGCCGGGGACTCCAGGGCTCTCCAGGAGGGACAAGTCTGCCTTGGATTGACCCTGAAGACAAGAGCTGGGCATCTGGGGAAGCAGGTTCGGGACCCCGGGTTGCTGAGGCGGTGAGGAGGGCGGTTCCCTGGCTGCAGCTCCTTCAGCATTGCAGGGCAGCAGAGCCTTTTCCTCTTTGTGTGTCCTCTGAGATGGGCCAACGCCCTGCTGCTGGCTCACATCCCTACCGCCTCTTCTCTCTAGGCCCCTCCCTCCTTCTGGGCCATTAGTCTCTCCCTGCACAGCTGCCAGGTCTTCTCCTTGATGGGTCTGGTCTGGTTGCCAGGGGGATGAGAAGAGGGAGGATGGGAGAGATGGGATGGATAAGCCAGGGCCTGTCCCCTCTAACTCTTGGGATGGTGAGGGGTAGGGTCCTGCCTGGGCTGGAGGCAGGGCGCTTGGCAGGTGTGAGGAGGGGGATGGGGAAACCTTGGTGCTTTCTGGCACAGCCCCAGGCTCTGAGCCCTGGCTGCCATTGGTCTGGATCCCCATTTACTCCAGCCTAGGCCTTGCCCCTGCCTGCTGTTCTCAGGGAGCAAACTCGGGGTCTGAGCTGGAACTGCATGCAGAGGGGCAGGCACAGCCTGGCAGGACCAGCTCAGGCCTTGGCTTTATAAGGAGCTGCTGGTAGACCTGGGTCTTTGAGAATAGAGGCCCCTTGGGCTGCCCAGGGAGTTCCAGGTGGGGTTCCCATCTGCTCCCCTGCTTGAGCTCCCAGCTCACAATCCAGGTGCCTTAGAGTGGAGGGGACAAGGGCCCTCAGCGGGGCTCTGGGGCTGTGGAGGGAGTAAGGCCAGGGCCTGGGAGGGGAAACCAGGCATGCTGGCCAGACAGAGGAGACTCGCCCCCTTACTCAGAAAGAGCCAGGCCCAGGAGATCTTGGGGCCAGAAGAAAAGTAGGAGTGGTCACAGTTAAGAGTCAGGGCTCTGGCCTCCAATTGCCAAGCTTCCCATCTAACACAATACTCTCTATTGTATGAATTTAGGTTCAGTACTACGTTCTTCCATGTTTTTCAGTAAAATGGGGATAACTGTAGTTTCTATCTCATAGTCTTATTGGGAGGATTAAATGAATAAGTACATATAAAATACTTAGAATACATGTAATAACAGCTGAAAATGTAAGCTATTTTATTTATTATTATTATTAATATCGATCTCCTGAAGGACATTGTCAGCCCCCTAGTGCAGTGAGAATCTGGACTCCTTTTAAATTATCCCTACTAGTGGCTGCGAGCAGTTCTGGACCCAGGGCTGAAGGAGCCAAGTATTTACTGGCTCAGGGAGAGAGGGGAAGGTGGCCTTATCTTCCTCTGTACTGGACAAATAGTATACTGATTAAGACATGGACACTGAGTTCGATTAAGACTGCCATAGCTAATTAAGACTCAATTTAATTAGCTATGTGCTTTGGGTTTATGTGAGTGATTGAAACTCTATTCATCCCATTGTATTGATCCACAAGTGGGAATGATAATAATAATACTTCCCATGTTAATGCTGGAGGCTGAAATGAATTACAGTATATGAACACTTAGTGCCTGGCACACAGGACATGCTGTGTAAGTATTAGCCAGCGTTTTTATTACCCTTCTTCCTCCTGCCACCCTTGGCTGCTCTGGTAAAGGCTTGGAGAGAAATGACAATTGGATACATTCAGAAGTTTGCAAGGAAGGTGAGAAACAAAGGTTAGGTCACTAGCAAGAGTGCTACCGAATGACCGGCGAGGGACTCAAAGCTGGTTATCAGGCGTATGGGGAAGATTGGCAGAGGAAAAGGCTCCAGAGCTGGACTCCCAGTCAAGGCTGAGGAACAGTCATAGTACGAAATTGAAAGAGTCACTGAGAGGGTAGGAAGTTGTTTTCAGAGAGCAGATGTGTGAATTTGTGATTCTGGAGCAGGAGTATTCAATGGGTGAGAAGGTTCCCAGGGCATTTGTAAGGGCGGAGGCAGCTGAGTCTAAGGTGAATTAGAGACAAAGGTCAGAGGAGAAAAGGTCAGGGTGCTGGCCTGGACACTGACTAGCCATGTGGCCCTGGGCAATTACCTGTTTTCTCTGAGCTTCCGTTCTTTTCATCTGTAAAATTGGGAGGATGACACCTTCCTCCCAGGGTTGTTGTGAGATCTATGAGATGTTGTATATAAAAACAATTAGCATGTTGTGAGGCTCACAGTAGGTGCTCAACACTGTTGATTTTCTTCCTCTCCCATGTGACAAAGAGGAAACAGACACAGAGGAGCAAGGACATAACCTTAATTACTTGTAACTAAGGGTCAGCTGTCCCTTGAGGTCTGAAATTGGCTCAACCTCCATTCCATATCTTGGGGAAAGTTCAGTGTGTTCCCCAAAACCTATGCCTTTGTGGGGCTTCCACTTTACATCCTTAGCTCCCTGTCCTTAATGCTGCTGAACTGGCTGATTTTACAGCTCCCTCTCCACAGGATCCCAGCTGTGGGACTCAATACTGTCCCTTGGTTCCCGTGATCCCCTTTCTCATCACAGGTAGGACCTGAAGCTCTGAGGGATGAACTTGCCTGTATGAGGTTGCACAGACAGCTAACAGCAGCCTCCTCTCAAAAATTCCTGTCCTGGAGGGTCAGGCCCTGCTGGTGTTCCATAGTCTGGGACTGTGAGAGCCAAGATAAGCTTCAGCCAGAGGGAGTTCAGCCCCATTCAAGATGGGCTCTCCCAGGCCGGCCCAGCCACCGGGCCCCCACTGGCGGAGTGGCTCCATCAAAGTAGAATTCCTTCCCTATAGTCTCCATTTTGGGGTTCCACTCTTCTCAGTTAGGGAACACTCTGGGTATGTTTTTCTACCTCATCACTTCTCTCACTGTACTCGTATGCTATGGTTAACATCTCCTATATGCCAAGCATCTTACACGTACTACCACTTTCAATCTTCATTGTATACATAGGTACTATTACTATTCCCATTTTACTGTTGAAGAAACTGAGGCACTTAGAAGTTAAGCAACTTGACGCAGGTCACACATCTAGGAAACTAGTGATCTGTTTATATGTCTGACTCCTCCCTCCCTGACAACATGATCCTTGAGGGCAGCTATCGGACTTTATTCGCCTTTGTGTCCATAGTGTCTAGCACAGGACCTTGGTCTAATATGTGTTGGTTAAACTCAAGGGTAACCCTGAGGCACCTGAAAAAATCTTTTCGGTGGTTCAGTCTGGAAAATAAAGAGAGATGTGTTGCTGCCATCTTCTGGTCAGAAATCAGAATGACATGCCTGCAGTGTGCATCCAGGCTTGTGTTTAAGACTCAAGGCTAAGGGAACATTGGAATTTGAAGGATGCTTCAAAATTATGACGACCTTCTTTTTACAGATGAGGAGAATTGACCAAGGGTGTGTAAAAATAGAATAGCAGCATTAGTATTAGGATTTCATAGCCCCGATTTTATTCTTCCCCTGGGCTCTAGGAGCCTCCTCTGCCCCTCTGCTCCCCCAGCCGCCGCCCCGCTTCACACACACACACCCTCCCCCGCCCCCCGCGCTGCGCCGGAAGCCAAAA